TGCGGAGCCCACGATCACTGCCGAAGAATCCCTCGGCCCAGCGAGATCTCGCACCGGCTCCCACTTGGACTGCGCGACCGCCACCCCAGGAGTTCCGGCAGCTGGGGGCAGGATCATTGCCGCCCGCTCAGTGGCCGGGTCGTGGTATTGGAGGGCGATCGCCTCCCTCGCCACGATCTTCTTCTCGGCCTTGAACAGGGGGGACTCGCACGTCAGGTGTAGATTGTCGGCGTGAGAGCTCACATCTACAGCACCGATCCTCGGCCCAGTGTCCTCGATCGAGTCAGCTGTTACCCCAGCTGTCCAGTGTGCGTGGATCCCCGCAATCTGGGACAATTGCATCACTTGATCAGGTCCTTCAACTCGTGCATAGTGATCTCGACACCACCGAGCCTTCTTCACGAGCGTAGGCCCCGACACTCGGGACACCACCAGCCAAGTCGCTGGGACAGCGAGCGTGCCACATGCCACATTGAGTCTGTCCTGAGCTGAAGTGAACCTGAACTCTAAACGATCTGCGTCCAGGCCCAGCGAGTCAGCCGACGAGACCGCCGTCAGCCGAATTTCAAAGTGGCAAAGAGGAAAGTCTAAGGCCAGAACTGCCCCCCCCCTCGCCACAAGCATACAGCTGACCACCGACCTCGAACGAGACGGCGCAAACTCTCCACCCTTGGAAGATCACCACCGTGCACGAGGGAATGAACAACACCTCTTCGAGCGCCACGACGATCGCATCGTTGATGTAGTTCAATTGTACCGTCATATCCTGATCGGACCGGTACCCCCGCAGCTCGAGGTGAAGGAGGAGCGCACCTTCGATCTTCACTTTCAGGTCGACCCAGGTCGCTGAATCGTCCCTCATGATGGGCCACCGGAAGGGCTGAAAAGCCTGGTGAGCCAAAACCTCCCCAGTCTGGGAGTCCCACCTGCCACATGGCACGGATCCGTAAGATGTCATGGATCCCACGATGATCAACTTCTTGCCTTCCAGGGTCCTCATGTAGAACAGGTTCATGTGGTAGCCCGTGCTTGGACTGCGCACTTGACGAGCGTCCGAGAGCACGTTGACTCCTGCCTGTGCATTGATCAATATCTCGTCTAGGAGCCAACCCTGGAAGGGACTAGAGATCCTTTGGTCCCTTGTGTCAACCACCAGCACCGACCTCTCGCCGCCGCCCGATCCGACTTGGCTGAGGTAGGGAGGGAGCACATTGCTGAGCGCGTTGTGGAGCCCGCCCAGCTGGCCAAATCGAAGACCACGAGCTCCTTTCCTGGCTGCCCGAGCGGCTTGCTTCTGCAGCTTCCTGGATCCATATTGAGGGTTGGTTCCAGCAAGCAAATTCTGAGCAGCTTGTGTTGCTGGAGCTGCCTTCGACACTGGCGGTTGAGGAGCCACGGCCGGCGCAGCTGTCTGCTGATCTGCCATCGTTCCTGAGCTTGAGGCTGGTGCAGACTTTGGGACAGGATCCTGTCCTGGTCGTGGTGTGGCTGGCTGAGCTTGAGCCACTGTTGGAATGCTCCGATTCTGAACCGGATCCGGCTGACCAACCTTCACTTTGTTGTCAAGATCTACGACATGGGGCAGCTCTAGATCAGATGGAGGCAACTCCAAGTCATCTTTCTCAACATGATCAGCCACACGAGTCCAACTAGAAAAGCTCACGTTGCTGACTGAGTCCTCTGGCCGAACGACACGGTTCACCGCGATCGCTTGCTGGCGCAAAAAGGGAGCCATATGCATGTCCGACATGGCTGCGGTAGGAGCTAGCCTAGTTAAACCTTAGTGATCACCCAGGCCCTAGTCAACAGAACCCACCAAGAGCTCACGCGCCCTCAAAAATAGCCAGGGTGATCACCACTCTAGCCAAAATGGCATACGTGTGGTGTATCATGATCATTAGTTACCAAGACACAGCTGAACAGCAGTCCAAGAGTAACTCACCTATACCAGACCTACCTTACCGTCAATAGGTAACCTGACAATCATTCCAACAGTGCTGGAGAGATCATATTTGTTTTGTGGCAATTGTGCAGAAGCATATGGCATCCCAACTAGATATGAGCCTTTTTATCTCAACTCCGCATATTAGGCAATCCATGGCCACTGTGTCCAAACAATGGAAATTGCACTTGAACGTACTAAAGTTGGAACTCCCAGAAGTTCTCGAAGTGTCGAGACTCACACCGCACCAACCACAGGTTTCAACAGCGATGAGAAGAAAACTCCGAGCCACCACTCTCAGCAGCTACTCGCATGTCTCGCTTTGCCTCGCAAACCCCGCCTGTGTCAAGTGTGAGCTCGAACCGGGCATGTCTTGAAGGCGGACTCTGCAAGGCTGGTTGTTTGTGACACACAATGTTGTTTGCCTCATAGCTTTGGTTTGTCTTCCATGTCCTCATATTGCTCACACCCAAGAAGAAAGCCTGCAGCTGGAAGCCAAACCAACTGGCATGACGAACAAAATTCAGCAAGACACCGCAAATCAACGTGTTGACCACACCACCACAACAACCACAACACCAGACCAACACCCACAAAGCACTCCGCATCGCCACCTTGTCACCACTCGGGCTCTTGACCGCTCTGAAGTGACTGGCCACCCCCGTTCTCCGCTCCAAATGGGAGACAGAAGAGCGTACGGCCAGCGATGCCAACCCGATGCGTACGTCTCCGGAACTCCAGAAATCCGGTTGTGATCCACTTAGCTGATCCTTCATCCAACTCTTGGTTGCCCTGATATGAAGCAGCCAATCTTTTTTATGGCTTTGCTCTGGTGTCTTCGCTTTGGGCAACTTTCTAGCTTGCTCCGGTGTCAAAGTTGGTTGGATTTGTACGTTGCATGTGTTTCGCTTCATGGCTACTTCTGTGCACCTGTGCACACAGCACAGACATGTCAAAAACAACGAGTCATTATATAGTACAATTTGGAAGTTCCCTATGATGAGGCGCAAAAACAAAGACTACAATATGTTTCCTCGTTATGTTTGATGCTAAACTCCAAAACAAGTACTGTCAGCTTAGCAACACTGGCTGCCTTGGTGGGTACATGGCAAATTCGAGACCCATTTTGCCTCATGGCGCTTCCTTTGTTCGGCTTTCACAAGCCTGCAGACCACTTCCATGCGAGCTACACAGCTACGGCCACACCAATCATGGGCACTTGAAGTGTTCAGGCATTCCTCCAAGGCTCGGGGAAAATGTACCTTCGGTACGGGGCATTGGAGGGTCAGCTCGCTCCCTCTTGACCCAATGATCAACCCAAATAGCCAATGATAAAGATAAGCAAAGTACAGCTCTTTTGCACACCTCGTCTTCCAGGATGTTGCCTGAGGATTTCAGGGAGCATGCTGACCTGCGCATTGCTGCCATCAGTCTTTGACATGGCAGTCACGCAGTCTTTTGGCTTGTTGTTGATTGACACCTAAAAGAACTGCGCCAACATCTGCCAACATCTGCCAACCACCAACCATTGGAATTGCTGCAAGCATTATCTTTACCACAGCGTCGTGCGACATGCCGAAGCGCTTGCCTCGCGCAATCGAATCGCAGGTCGCTCTCTCTCTCTCTCTCTCTCGCATCGGAATATGGTGGTCTTTCTTGGAAAGACTGCGGTCCAGGAGTGTCGTTCTTGGGTCTTCCATGATCAAGGTGCTCAAAGGTGCTCAAGCAAAGTTTGGAATGGCCCCTGAAGGATCTCTGCAGAGGTGCAATTTGGCACCAATCACTTCCGACAGGTCTCCTCTGGTGGCTTTTGCAGACTTAAAAGTGGCAGGTGGTAACCTGTGAAGTCGGGTGCTGGTATAGAAATCTTGCTTTGTTTGAACCTAGAATCATTGGATGTTTGTTTTGACCATCGTGGCGAGGTGGTGACCGAAGCCATCGCCAAAGACCATGTGTGACGAGATCGCTGAGTTGCATCGCGCATGGTCGAAGTTGAAGCCATCGTGTGTGATGTGATGATCTGAAGTGCAGCGCGGCGCCATCTGCGTCTGAATAGCGTGAGGTGCAGTGCGCTCAAGGCGAGTCTGACACGCTGCGTGTGTGTTGGGCGCTGAAGGTGCACGGTGTGATTTCCATTGGGCAGTTGTGCTCACGTCTCAAAGAGCGCGTGCGACAAAACTGGGCCGGTGAGCCGAGACAGGACGGTGACATCCCGAAACTGGGGGATTCTCCTATACTTCTCCTATAGGTGTTCGGGTTTCCCAAATGTTCTGCCATGTTTCAATTGAAATGTTTACATGAGTCTACTTTTCTGGACTTTCCATATGTTGTCTGGACAAACTTCTATCATTTGGGTTTAGCATCCAAGCTTTTATATAGTTGTTTTCTCTAAACATCTTCTGACCCCTTTTGAAAGCTCTACCTCTCCCCTCACGTGTTTCTTCAGCTGCGTTTCGCCCCCGTGCAGTTGCGGCGTGCCAAACGCGTTCGCCGCCTGCGGCGTTTCGCCCACCCGTTGGATCGAAGGGTACCCGCAACTGAGTTGCGTAGTGTTTAACCCAGACACGACCGGACACGACTGCCAGGCTGGACTGCCGCCCTGGCACCAGACCCCCGACTTCAACCACCCCACCGTAGATCGGCAGTCCGTCATGGCAGTCCCTTTCTACAGGTCGTGTCTGGGGAATACTAAACCCCTCCTTTGATCATTCGTCGGATTGGAGGATCGGCCGTCTTACTTGAGGCCAATACTATACACCAAAAAATGAAAAACTACTATACACGCTACAAGTATGCAATACACATCAAATCGATGGCAGTCACGTGCTTTTGTGCCGCCTACACCTCAATTCACTCAAGTTGCATTGCTGCATGGTTGTTGGCATCAATCAACAAACAAACCTCAAGTTCTTCAGCTTTGAGCCGTATTGGCTACATGCCTGGATAAAGGGCAATGTAGACTCTTGATTTATAAGACCCCCCAATCCTGAAGAGGTTGTTCAATCCACTCTGGTCTTCTTCTAATCAAGAGTCTGTTTCACTTCTGTAGCAGCCCAGACTAATCCACTACAGCTTGAGATTTTCGTTGACTCTTCCAGGTGCTGATTCTCCTCAGGCCCTTCCTGCGAGCACGCTGGGCTTCAGCGACCTCAATGTCCTTCCCGAAGCCAACACGACAGTACATGCCTGCGGGCAGTGGCAATCTGCGCAGGGATGTGCTGAAAGTTGTAACCCGAGCAGTTCCTCCGCCCACCAATAATTTTGAGGCTTCGAATCTCGAACAGCCAGCTGTTTTTTATGAATTCAGGCGAGAAAACTAGATCAGCCATGTATCAAATGGTCGACCAGGTTTGGCGAATGGGCAATTGCAAATCTGGACTCCACTGATCGCATGGGAACCCGAGTAATTGGAGTCTTGGAAAAAGCGGTGTGTTTGTGGCTTGTATCAGCTCCATCTGCAGAATGCGTTGACACGCAAAGATGAAGCCGTTCAGGGGAGCATCCTTCAGGGAGTGCTCGGCTTTTCAGCTGTGCTAAGTGCCCCAAAAAGGGCAAGCTGCGGCCGAACGGAGTCTCCAGCGACAGCGAAACGGAGTCTCCAAACCTTAAAGGTTGAATGGACAGAGATACTGGCGGTTTGCATACTGCTAGTTCATGCGCTTGCTGTTAGTCACTGTTAGTCATGACATTTTTTCAGCGTTCTGCAACAAGTGGACCTTCCTCATCGGACCTCTGTGCAATCATGGTCCGGTTGCATGGATTTGTTCAAATGACGCATCATGTCCGGAAAGCAAGTGCCTGCGGTGTAAACGATGAAAGCAACTGTGGACACGCAACCGCTGAAAAGGAAGGGACTTATGGGCTCTAGCTCGTAAAGAGCCAGACCCAGGTAGCCCACCAGCATTCCACCCAGGCAATCTGCATTTCTGGAAAGCACTTGCCTGGCGTCGATGAAGGGACCAAGGCTTGCCAAAAACAGCTTCAGAACGTGCAAATCCAACGAGCCAATCCAGTGGAGCAATGGAAATTGGGGACCCCGGCGTTCAAAAAATGGCTTTCCCGCGGGGCTTTCACTTGACCCAAAAGTGTTGCAATGTACAAAGAGGTTTGAGCGTTTACTATACTAGCAAGAAATATTGTCGTCAGATAAGGCAGCAGAGTCTTTGAGAGGACCATCTCCCCTTCTTTTTCGCTCTTGCTTTTGGAACCAAACAACACTTATGTCTCCGTATTCCACATAGAAGGACAAGAAGTCGAAAACACAGCAGGCAGCTGGTGAGTCTGTGTGTATAATATATATATATAGAGAGAGAGAGAGACCCCCAAATAGATAGAAGTTCGTAAATCCCCATGTAGAGAATGCATTTGGAAAGCATGCCCCGGTCATCTATTTAGGGACCACTATGGTCCATCATGGCTGGTGGTTTCAGTGCACCCGTGCCATGGAGGGCCGGCCACCAGCCACCGAAAGAGGCTTTCGATCGGACATGAGTCTACCACAGAACCACATGATCTACCCTGGGGAGGGAGCTTTTTGAGTCTCTGAAACTGTTGGGAAAAATCCTTGGAACAAGTCTCGTGCCCCTCAAGTGCAGATCGCGTGGCATTCAGCATCCATCTTTCGACATCCGCTGAACACCATGCACCACCCATGTTCTATGCATCCCATGTGTGAAAAAACGCCCTTCACCGCAACCTCCAAAAAGAGAATTCGGAAGACAAGCAGCAAGATCAAGAAGACTTGGGAATCGCCTAGGGAATAGAACAGGTTGATCTCCTTAGGAGAGGAGACTTGCCCGTTTGACGCGCACGCGCACGAAAAGGCACGTGTTTTTACACGTTTGATCTTGCGCACACCAGCGTAAGCATGTGGCGTGCAGGTCTGGTGCGAACTGATCGAAGTTCAAAAGCCGATCTTCCAACTGAGCTCGTGTCCGTCGATGCCTTCTGCGCGAAGACAAACAAGGTGCCCATGATGATCTGGAGTCGTCCATCGTGAAACAAAGCGAGACCCAAAGACCCAAGAGTGGAAATCCAGCGAGGTGCAAACGAAGGTGCTTGTTTGATTCTCCGTACACAAAATGGACACACCATAGACCCTGGTTTCCTTTCACAAGCGCAGCCGGGAGAAGTAAAAAAGGGACCTATGTTCGATGCCAAGATCGGCCTGATGGGCTGTTCAGAAAATGTGTCCCAAGCGTGTCCCAAGCAGTGCATGGTCAGGGTGACAGTGAGAAACATTCATATGTTTAGTCAGGGTGGTGTCCACATCCATCTTAGGCGGAATGTATATCCCAAGGTGTTCCGAGGACCTGTGGTACTAGTATACTTGAGAGAGGAGGGGGTGAACGAAAGGTAGCAGGCAATCACAAGTAACCCTGGTAGAAGTCCATGACGGCGTGAACCGGCGCCAATCCCAACTCCTGATTGTAATACATTTTTGCTAAAGCAAGGAGAACTCAGGTAGCTCAAGCTACCTTTCGTGATATTTGGATTCCTGGCCCATCATGATTGTTATGGCCTGAATCCCGAACGAGGCCTTGTCTTACTAAGGATTGTACGCTACAAAACCCGGGGTTTAAGGCTCGAACGGAAGGCAAACGGGAGTGCTCTTCTCATCGCCCGACACGCATCGACACGCTCGCTCCCCCCGTCCTGAGACGCTACGGCGGCTGGCAACCATGGGAGGCACATCCCAAAGTTCAGTAGGACCCAACCAAGGAAGTAGCAGCTTATGATGTAGGGCTGGCCAGTCAAAGAATGCCACAACCACCGGAGTCCTGAAAGCCTGAAGTCGAAAGTCTGAGACCTCTCAGATGATCTTCATGAAAATGTGTGACCGCTGAGCGTGTTACATTCATACTTAGTCATACATCACACTTAGATATAAAGCTCAACTGGTCGAGCATTCAATCAGTTACTGAGTTCCGAATGAATTAGCACTTTACGGCGCTTTACCAAATAGCCCTTTAATGCGGAAACAACGCAGTAGACAGCTTTGGCCATACTTAGTTCACAAAGACTTGAAAATGCAGGTACACATCAGGACGTCCCCCGATGCTTCACCAGAGAGTGTGGACGTCTTCGTTGGCAGTGATTCCACAAACTCTGTCACTGCCCCCTGCTGATACATCGCGTGAATGAATTCAAGGTTGAAGACCCTTTGACACTGGGTTTGACACACACACACACACAGACACAGATGTATATATATATATATAAATATATGTAACCAAATGCCCATTGAAAGGTCCTCTTGAGTCCAAGGTCTAAGGTCGCCCTCCTGAAATCATCCAAGGCACTCATCCAGATCTTGTTTGGTGGGCTGGCCCAAGACAGCCATCACCACCGCAGCCAGAAGGTCCCCGGCAGTTTGGCAAATGCCTGGCGTGCAAGAAACTGGCTCAAGCAATTAAAAGGCAGCTCGAAGAATGGAAAAAACAAACCCCCTGCAAGTGGAAGACTGGAAGAGATTGAAAGAGAAAGGGAAGAGAGCAGGCTGCTCCGTGGCTACGAACGCAGATCATTCATGAAGGACCACATCAATCACTGACACTGAAGTCTGGGGTCGCCTGCCCAAGTGGCTGACTCCCAGCCATGCACTTCCTGGCGCACATCAGTCACTCATCATGGGCAATGTCAGACATGATGCGGACTCTTGATATGTGTTCATCTCACAGGCAAGAGGTTTGACCATCCATGTCGGGGTAGGTGATAAAAAGTGCCCAGGCCGGATGATTGACAATCCTGTGCGCAGCGCAGAACCGATCGAGGGTCGCTTATTTTTCTTGTTCATCGGTCGATGCGGCTACTCGAAGGAGTGACTTTCCATTCAAAAGATTTTGCGTCGTCACGCCATCAACGTGTATGAAATAAGTCAAGTTGCCATACGCTGGCGAACCAGCAACGAAGTAGCTTGCGATGTCTCCCTAACCACATGAGAATGATCAAAGAACTCTTTCGTTAAGCCTGAAGCAAGGATACTTTTTCTTTGAAAGGACTGGAATAAACATGGAAGTGCAAAACCACCGTGATTTGGTGTTCGGAAAATGGTCATCCAAAGGGCCATGCCATCCATTTCCATGGTCATTTCAGGGAGTGTAAAGCCAGGATTTCGGCCGAGGGCCAATACTTGCATCCCAAAACGCACCGGTGACGAACCGCCATCGACACTCCTTCTCAGGTCACGACCCGGTGCCTTGAAAAAAATGGCAAAAGTGCCAAACCTCAGAGGAACACAGCGATCTGTGAGCGGATGGTTTTCGTTGGGCGCAGCAACCCACCCTGCGGCATCGCACCATTAGCGGCCCTAGTGGCCCTAGCAGGCACAGGTGTCCAGTCGGGCTGTGCGCGCGTTTGTTGCGCGCGCTTAGATCCCCAACGGCAGGTCCCCACAGGACAAGTCACTCAATGCCGTAAGATGCAGTGTTGTTGAAGCTTGAAAGCATGATGAGAGCGGCCGGAAGATACCTCGGAGATCGACCCAAAATACAAAAAAAAACGACTGGTGGATGGCACGGCGCCATGGCCATGTGTCTGGCCATGCCTGGCAGGCTCCTTGGATGACCCCTTGTTTTCCGGTTGGGAGACTCGGGGTGTACAGAAATGGTGCTCCATGTTTAGTCAGTCCGTCTGTTGGGATGGTAGAGTGGACATGGTCCCTAGGTGTATTTCTCCATGTACTTGGGGACTCCAAACAGATGGTATGAGTCTATTTGTGGTTACTCCTTGAATCCGTCAACATGTGCCGAAAACAGCAGCGGTCACTGCAAGAAAGGATCACGATTCCACGAGCCTTCATGGACGTTTCACCTTCGCATGACCCTTTAGTAACACTCTTCTGCCTGTCAAGCCGCAAATCGCGTGGAAGCTTACCTTGGGAGGGTGCGCCCGTGGGAAGAGCAGGCGCTGAACCAAAAAAGCCAGCACGGACGAAACCCTTCGACAGGGCGCGGACGGATCCCACAAAGAGGGGTTACACGTCGTCCCGGAACATGCCGTCTTCTTCGAGTGGTTTTCATCACCCATAACCAGCATCGGTTGAGATCCAAGACGATCCAAACGTCCAGCATCGGTTCGCTGCGCGCCCCGGTCAGGTGGCGTCCCCCCACCCGCTGATCACGTGCAAAAGGCGAAGCGAAGCCATTGCAGTGGCATCTTCCAAAGGCAGTTCATTTTGAATCCGCGGAGTAATTGATCAACCCCCCGCTAGCAGGATGGTTCTACATCTTCATAAGAATTTGATTCATCTACAGTCTGAGCCTAGAGACCTAGAGAAGCCGTTTTTGCACTCACCCGGCCTATCCAGTCAGCCTACTCAGCCTGCTCAGCCGACTGTTTGATCCCCAAATCGACCCATCGCGCCGTGACAGACACACGAAATGCCCCAAAATGGGTGACCAAATCGGCGATTGCGCCGACCACGGTGGTTCTTCTCGTGAAAACCTGTGAATCCACATGTAGAAAAACCCTTGGGACGCCGATGAAGTCCAACGCTGCTATGATGCCACTGCCCTGCGGTGCGGCAACCTCAGCATCGTTGACTTGTGCGTCGTTTGGTTCCAAGGAGGCGCAAGCGCGCCCGCCCGCCACGCACACCAAAGGCGGGAAAAGCGTGCGTTTTCAGCGACATGTGCCTTCAGCCAGAACCGGGGCCCCAAGACGACTCGGATGCCGAGTCTTCCGAAGAGCAAACAGGTGGTGGCCCACGTCACCACGATTCCCGGGAGCAAACAGGTGTTTCGTTCTCCACGCTGTTTCACTTTAGAAAGCTCTGAAAAACGCGCCCAGCCTGTCAGTGATTGCTTAGAGAAAGAATGCAAACAACTCTGGTGTTGCACGCTCCCATTGCTAAAATGAAGCGAGGTACAACAATGATGAAATCAGCCTGCAAACTAAAGAGCCTGGTCCTAGTCTACGACCCGGACCACCTGTAGCATCCCGTAGCCACATCAATCCGGAGAACAGGAGGATGTCCAAGGTGGTGGCCCATTTCCCCACAGCGGGTTTAAAGGCAACAAAGGACCAGGGACATTTCGCCCGCAAACCACCTAAGGTATGCAGCAGGACGGTATCCAAATCGCTTCGTCCTCCTCGGTATGAATACGCCCGGTCTCGTATCGTGGACTCGAATAGAAAAACACCACCAAGGCACGGACTCTCCTTCTTCCACACCGCTCTTCCTAGCGAGTGCACCGTGAAAACTCTCACCGAAATCACCCGAACTGGTGACCTCCTTAGTGGTCTATTCCGTTCATGTTCCCAAAAAGAAGACGGGGGGGCAGTTTAGACCCCTGCCACACTGCAGTCCCCATGCAGCAACTTCTCTTCATCTCATGGAACCTCATGGAAACCCGAAAAATCGGCCTGACACTTCTTCCACACCCCTAGTGCCACTTGGGCAGTGCCTAGTTGCACCACCGGAGTGATGACCTAGTCCGGTCGGCCGCCCTTGCACCAAGGAAAGCTCGCTTAGACGCCTGGAACCCTGAAAACTCCCAAAGCTTCGAGGTTTCTACCAGGGGGCTGCGGTTTTTGAAAAGAAACAGCTCGCATCCGGGTTAAGAGGCCAAGGAAAACGACACTCCAACGAATTGACACTCCAAAAAAACGACACATTCTTTGAATTCTCTGCTGTGGGTTTGCGCTAAAGCATGTGACACCTCACATGCACACACCGCACAGTTTGGCTTCGAAGGTGCCGCCCATGGTGGCCGTACTCATCCGCGACGGCGTCGAGGTTCACTTGGGCATTGTTGCTCACAATGTTGGGCCGCAGTGCCTGTGTGACCTCGGCCGCTTGGCTCCAACCCTGAAGACGGGAAAGGGGCTTCGTTGTGCCTCATTCCCCTCGAAGCAGTCCAGTTCACCAAGCATGTAGCTGCAACGGGAAACGTTTCCAAAAGAATCCACGTTCCTTTCTTAGGACGACTGGTATCATTCTCCTGTCTGCGGCACTGTTCGACCTCGTACACCATTCCGTGGCGTTCAAGCTTGTGAAAGAAGGATCAACGCAACTAAGAAAAAACAATTGTGGAACAGTTTGCTTGTTCCCCCCTTCCGGTCCCTTGAATCGTTCCGTTTCCCGTGCCAATGTCAGCTATCGTCACAGTCTGTTCATTTACAATGAAAAAGAACATCCCAGTTTGGCACAGCCAAATCCAATGACCAACGAGCGGCACCATAATGGAACTCAAAGATCTCGCCGGCCTCCCTCAACCGCGCCAGCCGGCTCAGACCGGTCATCGCCGTCGCCAACGTCCCCGCGGTCCGTCCGCTCTGGCCAGTCTGGCCAGTCTGGCCTGTCAGTCCTAGTGCGCAGTGCGAAGTTATCCCTGCAATTCGGACCTCCATTTACAGTGTTGCATGAGAAGTGCGCGAGAGAACAGAACATCTGTCGGGGGTCGAAAGGTCGAGGCCTAGAGAGATCTGGGGTCGAAAGGTCGAGGCTTAGAGTGATCTCTAACTCAGAAAGCTAGATCTACAGGTCAGAAAGCTCTGGAGTTGTAGAGTTGATGGGTCCCAAGGCAACGCATCATTATGTGAACACGATCACTCCAGCAAGGTCTTTGAGTACACTTTATGACTTTTTGCGAGCACATGGGAGCACAAAACGCTGCGCCTGTCACGAAATCTGCACTTGGAGGTTCACAAAGCGCTCCCCCTGCCACGCAATCTGCACTTCAAAGTTCACAAAATGCTGCGCCTGCTAGGCAACATGCACTTCCCGGTTCACAAAGTGCTGCGCCTGCCAAGAAATCTGCACATTAAGGTTTACATAGTGCAGCCCTGCCAAACTCAAGGCGTTTCGCAGTATGCATGTCCAGCTTTCGCAGCAAATACGTCCCACTCCTGACGAACCACAGGTCCAGAGGTCACGACTCACCTGCCACGACATCTGGGCGCGCCGCTGGTCTCAGCCATGTCCCCATACCCCCCCCTGCCACGAAATCTGCATCAACCGCTCTGGTCTCCAGCACCCGCCTGTTGCTTTTAGACCACCAAAACACCAGGTTTCCCTTGTGCCTGCCACGAAAAGTGACCACCAAGTCCGACAAGAGAGCCCAGCTGACGAAAGCACACGCCCCACCCGCCCCAGATTCTGCGAGCCTGCGCAGTCAAAATGCACCTTGGAAAACTTGCATGAATGTAGCGTCCTTAACACCTACCGCAAGAGCCCCCAATACGGCCACACGTTTGGGGAACCATCGAACAACAACGTGGTGACCACAAATCATTCCAAACCCAGTAGATTATGGAGCCCTATAAGCCTCTTGCCCCACACTGCCCCACGAGCACTGGAAGCCCAACAAACGAGCACGGTCGCTGGCGTCCCAACTGAACGTCGCCGTCCCCGGACACTGAACGGACGGAGCCGAGCGTCTGGTCATCTGTGAGCGTGCGGTGTGGCGCCTTAGCAAACAACGCCGGAAGATCATGCAACGCCCATGGGCCGCCTGTTTACACGCTTCGTTCGACCGACGACCATCGTGTGGGCGAGCCAAGCGAAGCCACCCGTGTGCTGCGATACTCCTCCCGTTGGCGGGAGAAAAGGGCTTTGGAAGGGGTCGCTTCAAAGAGAAGAGTTGCAAGTGGAAGAGTCCAAAAACATTGGTGAAGCCATTCCACCTGGAAAGTGCTGAAAACCGCTCACGATCAGAACCAAAAGGCAAGGTTAAAGGACGAAGCCATTCCATTCAAGCTTCATCGGCCGAATGAGAAGTGCACCCGCAAGCCTTTGAATTGGCCTTTTTGAAGCTCACTGGTTGATTTGACTATGCAAGAACTGACATCTTTTCCAGCTTTTCGACCGGAAACAAAGAAAAGGAAAAACAACACCGATGAACTGAGTGGGATGTTGGTACCAAACCTATGTCACTTCGGCGCACGAAGGCAATCCAAAAACAGCAAGCGAGACCATGTTCCTTGCGAAAAACACGTGTTTCGCGCTAGGGTGACATGTTCATGTTTCAAAAGAATTGTGTAGAACATACACCCCTGGTTCTCCTTTGCCCTTGCTTCTCGTTTACCTTTGGAAATCTCGGTGACCTTGTGGGGGGGAAAAGGGTGTATCTCACGAACCTCGAAGACAAACACATCAGCAAGAATGTCTCCACCTGGTTCTTCCCTTTTGCAACCGAACTTGATACCCCAAAAGAACCTGTAAAAGGTGTCGGGACTCCAAAGAGGTCACGAACTGAAGAAGCTGGTAGTTTATGTTGATGCAGATCTTTGGTGGACGTTCCTATTTGGAGCAGCGGTGCCAACCACATCGTCACGCCCTGGTTAGCCCACGAATTTCTAAAACTCGCCCTTTTGGGCCATGCTGAATGTGCCAAATCGTTTGGGTGGGGGTCACAGGTCTTTCTACAACATAAAGAGATGTTCTTGCTTTTGCTGAGAGTATGAAACCTGTGACATGAGCTGGACGGGAGAGCTACCTTGGCAAGTCCTGCTTGAGCTGATTTCATTCTGGCTGGTTTCCTTCTTGAGTGCCACTCGGAGAAGGCAAAGGGCGTTTGCTTCCCTTTGCCCGAATTTCGTTGCAGATCGGCGTGAGCCCATGCCTGCTTCAAGTCAAGGACTTCAAAATGCTGCCGAGCTACGTGTGAGCCGACCGCGTGGTCAAACGAGATCTTATGCTGCCCCTTGCGTGGCCACCGTGCTCACTCATCCTGAGCACTGCAGCACAGCAGCAGGGATTGAACATCTTAATACGAATGAAACAATGCAAAACATCGAAAGTCGGCTGAAGCTGCCAGGTTGCCTGCTGGCCATGCTGCCTCTGTTTGCCTGACTGGCCATGCTGCCTCTGTTTGCCTGACTGGCCATGCTGCCTCTGTTTGCCTCACCGTCTCCTGCGCAATCGCAAGCGCTTGAAGGACATCGACGTACAAACTGAGAATCGCAGCTCAAAACATCCGCGCGATGCCAAGTCTCGCCGCGTCTGTCTGTGCGACATGTGCAAACATCAGCCGATGGCAAGGCAGCCTGTGAACACCACCACACCATACTTAACCCAAACCCCCACGAAATGCAAAAACCTGCAGCAACCACCCTGCTCGCACGGCCAGCCTCCTTGCACACGCTTTGTGTCCACTGAGTTTGCACCACGCGTTGGTGTGCCTTCCTCTGAGTCTGGATGGCTCACCTCACAGTCTCACAGTCGAGGAAGGAAAATCATCAATTCAGTTCAATCCTCGCTTCACCCTCGCACCCTTTTTTGGCCTGGCCAGCAAGTTTCGAATGTCTCAACACATGCACTTCAATTCAGTCATGTGGATGCGGTGTCCAAGACATGTTCTTTGCGAAAAATGGCCTTATGTTTGAAAGACACGGCATAATTCGTTCGGTTTCAACCGAGATCTCACAGGCTTTCTGGGCGGGCTGGGGCGGAGGTTGCCAGGTCGGATGACCTAAAGAGAAGACCCCAGGTCTTCGTCACTGTGAGAAACAAGGACAGGCTGCGGCTAAGGCTACGGTGTTGAAGCGGAAGCATCTGAATCGAGTTGGTGAATTCATAGGCCAAGCCGAGCCTTCCTCAAACTTTACAGATATTGTGGTTCGACCAAAGGCATCTATGCACATGGGATCATGGGGTGCTTCTGGACCACCAGATATTGTATTGCGACAAGACGCCGACCCAGATGTATCGCAGGCAAAAAACTCGTGCGCAGGAGACTCGCTGCTTCATACAAGATTGGTCATTCCTAGTCCTAGTGTCCGCAGCTGCCTGGCTGCCTGTACTGCTTTCTTGCCTCCAAGATTTGTGACTGGGTTCGGTATCTGTGTCTGCGTGCTTGTGCTGTTCAAACTCGGCTAGTCGGATGCAGTAGAGAGATGTCGGTGGAAGTTAGCCTGTCCCTCGGTCCATCTGAGACTAAGCGTAGTGGCAGTGGCAAGATTCCAGATCTCTTTCTGCTGCCGAAAGCTATCTGGTTGCCGAAAGCTAAATCTCTTATTAGACGAATGAAGAATTGAGAAGCTGTGCAAAACTGGACTCTGTATTGCATGGTTGTTGTAGGTTCACAGCATGCGAGAGACGCCTGCTAGTCAGGCTTGCCTGAGTGCCACGTCTTGTCAGCAGCCCCACAGAAGTTCAGCCATCTGTTGAGGTTTATAGTGGTCCCCAAATAGATGACCGTGGCACAGTGTCCATGTTCTACATGGGGATCTACGAACCTCTATCTATTTGGGGGTCTGGCTGCAACCCAACAAATGAATCAACCAAACGCAACGAGCCCACCACGCACTCTCTGCTGCTGCGCTGGTCCGTCCATCAGACGAGGTCACGGGTAGGTCGTCCAAGTCGTCGAGTGGGTCGGTCGGTCGGGTGTCTGAGCAGGTCGGAAGTTCCGGCAGGTAGGAAGAAGCAGAGGCAAGACGGAGGAATTCTTCCTGACCAACTTGGCAGACTGTCGTGGCTGATATCCAGCTATCGTGCTTCAGCAGACTGTCAGGTTGCCTGAAGGCAGAATCAGCATCCAAGGAACTTGGTTCGAGCAAGGCATCAGGGCCGATGCAGGGCCATACACTCCCTTGATTTGTTCTACATACTTCAGATTACTTGAGTACGCCCTCGGGAGCGTAAGATGCAAAACGTCTTAGCATTGGGAGCATGTCACAAATGAGGTATTGACTATAACCGTTCTTGTAGCTTGGATGGATTTGTCATGCCCACTGGTCACCCCGACGGAAGCGACACGAAGCCTTGTCCAAGCGACGCCTAGCGACGCTGTTCATGCGACAGTCGCAATGACGTCTGCTCGAACGGAACAGATCGGGTCAGTGCCAAATAACCCATAATAGACCGCACTTGGTTTGGGGGAGGTCTCCCCTCTATCAATCAACCCACGAAGACCTTTTACAAGGCTCGTCCCGAGATCCCCCCCCGTCAGCCTGTCTCTTGGCAAGGCCCTCCACCATGCCAGGCAGGCTCAAAGATTGCCCTCTCTGTGACTCGGGTGTGGGATTCTGAGATGCAACCGATGCCGTCGGGACAATGGCAGTGGCGCCTGAGCCGGTGGAGCCCCTGGAGCCCGGGGAGTACGCGCGAGAGCATGAACATCCAGGGACTGAAGGCGATTTCAAAAACCATGGCACTGGTGAAGTGGCTGAAGATCCTTATGATGCTAAAAAGAGAAGGCACCTGTCGGACTTTTGTAGCCCTGGACCCTGCCTGAGAATGGCCGAACCTCATCAGTCTTATCGATTGCAGCACCACAACCCACAAACTCTCGAAAGGACTTGTGGACCGCCGGCTGGATGGCCTGCAACAAGCCACGATGGAAAAAAAAGCGCCGTCCCAACGGTTTTGCTGCTTGGGAAGGCTCGTTGGAAAGCTCTGCCCAACGAAGCAGTGGGGCTCGAAAACGACGCAAGAGTCCGAAACTGTTTTTTAGGGCTTTTCAAGCAACATGCTGACAAGCCACCAGCACAAGCACTTCCACAATAAGGCCAGCAACATGATAGATGGCAATACCCTCCCAGCTCGCTGCATCATATAGAAGGCCTCCCAGTGTTGCCTCGTTTGGAAGAGATCGATGTGGCCAAACACATGCAAAAGTCCGTTCTAAATCGCTGCCTGCCCTTCTCGCAACTTGCAACAAGCCTGAAAACGTGTGTTTCTCGCAACTTGGTGTCTCACGACTTGGCGTGGTTTTTTGAGCTGCAAAGAAATGGCCCTGCCTCCTTACTTACTTCAGTTGGCACCTACTTAATCAAGAAAGGCTAGTAGTTAGTAGCTATTAGGTACTAAACACGCTCCTAGCTATACTCACCCCTCAGCAACTTGAACCCTCTGCTTTGCGCCGTAAACGCCTCATGCTGATCGCCTTTCTTGCTTTGATGGCTTGCAAAACAGTCTTTCAATCTAAGGAGCGATTTATCACTCACCAGGTTTCCAGCTTCTAAGATACAATTTTGAACAGCAGGGGTGCAGCGTGCTTAAACAACTACGCCCAACGGAGCTAGTCGGAGCACATCAGGATTGGCCATCCTGGCATACCCACAATTTCCCCGATTGATGTGGCGCTGTTGCTTCTTTTGCTGGTGGACTATGAGGCTGTTTCAAATGAGTTCCCTTTATCCTAGTGTGTGGTGCCTTGGTGCATTGACGGCCATCCAAGTGGTGTCTGTCCCTATTGTCAGGCTTGAGAAACAGTAGTAAGCAGAAGGAACTGCACTAGCTCTCAACCTGCACCGCCACCTGAGCTGTCTGCAGAATCCCACTCACATCCTTGGAGAAGAATGTTTAGCTGGAGAAGACCTGCTAAGTGCTACCGCCCACCCTGCTACCCTGCAGCTAGTGTTGGAAATCGGAGGCATCAAGCCTTCAAGGGATGGATTTTCCACCCTGCTCGTGCCTGGCTTGCTTCGTTTCATCCAAATGCCTTGAAGTTCTTCATCGGCTTGTTCAGTGCTCCCTGTGGAGAGATGTTCCCAGCTAATCATATCTGAGTCTTCGCGTCCCTACCCCTCTCATTGTGTCGAGATGATTGGTCAAAGCACTTGAGCCGTAGCCATGAAAAACCTTTGCCTGAAGTGCGGCACTCGCGTTGCCTGTTCTCCCGCAACAAAGGAAAGACAGTCACAAGTTCTGAGCAAGGTGCGGCACTTGCGTAGGCCAGCCTCGTTGCGTGCCAAGCAACCCCAAAACCGTTGGAAAACACCGCAATTCCTGTCATTCCCGTCCCACCAAAACCTATGTGAAAAGAAAGAAACTGGTCTCAATTGCGAGAAACGTATACACCGAAAGGACCGTGGACTGCGCTTGGGCCACCATGACCTCCGAGTCCGACCACACTTCGAAGGTGACGCCTTCCTGAGGCACGGAAGAAGCTCTTGGCAAAGCTGGCAAAACAGCTTACGATGCAAAAGTCACACAAAGAAAAATAACTTAGTCACCAAAGTTAGGGTGCTCTATTTTTGCGTGTGGCTTGCTTGAGTCTGTGAGTGTTCAACAAGGGTCCATGGTCCTCTCTAGTATTAGCATCTGAACACATTGGGTCAAGCATCAACCACAACAAGAACATCAAATGCAAGCATTGCAGCTACTTCGCCATACACTGCCCATGCCTGCGGTCGCAAGTTTACAACCAGCGGCATTGTACACCCACAAAAACGTGCTCAAAAGATTTGCTGCAGCTACGGATTTTTACTTGGTCAGTCGAACACTCTGACGCCACAAATTCAGTTCCGCAGCGTTCCGCATCTTCCGGAAGCAGGTCATATGCTTTGTTGAGCCCTTTGGAGTTATGAGTTGGTCATGTGGGATTGGCGACTGGCCAATTGCACCCATGTTGCATGTGTTCACATTTCCCAGCTTTGCCCAAAGCGTTGGCTTCCTGGTGCTGCTTCAAACCATTGGCTTCACCTTCCATCGTCTCTTTTCACAGTGTCGTCCCCTCATCGAAATATTCCGGGATTGCTGGTACCTCAGAGTATCATGTTGAGACCAACTTGGCGTCCAATTTGGCTTAATCCTATGCATGAAGGCCCACCCCAAAGGTGGTCGGAGTTGTTCACCACACCTGCTAAACATGTCACTCATGCCTGGTCAAGGAAGACGAGGCCAAAGATAGCTAACAGCAGGTGTAGCAAACTCAGGGGCAAAGCCGTCCAAAGGCCAAAGCGGAAAATCGCCTGAGTCGGAGCGTGACATCCTTCTCGACACATGGGGACCCGTGCGAAACCAGTCTTGCGGGCTCCCGCATCGCATGCACACCTGCTTCTCCACATGGAAATCGGAAATCCACCCTTCTTTTTGCTTCGGAAGAGCAACATAGCAGCAGGTCCGGTGCATCTCTCCAAGAATCTATGATGTTAGCCGT